GATTTCAAATAGACAGGAAGGGATGCAGAAATCCTTCCAGCTCTCAAGGTTAAAGGTTGACTTGTATCTGTATACTAGTCTCTGAAAATAAGAGCTTTAAGGGATTTTCAGGATTTTGGAATTACTGGATTCTCTCTGATGTAACAGCCTATGTCTTGGTCTAGGTCACCCCCACAGTCCTTATGTATTATCTGACTATCCATTGAAGTTAATGGAAAGATTCCATTTTGCTCTGATGAAACCTAAAAAAAGGCCATTCCTGTGCTCACATATAATATATTTTTCTCTGTTCCTACTCCTCTGTCTGCTTTTGGTTACCTTTTTTTGTTCTGTCTCCCTTCAGTTCTTTGGTTCTGATGGTGGCACAATATTTAAGGGACTAGACATTAGTATCCTCAATTACTTTTGCATTTTTAGAGTGATTACCCTAAGAAAAAGCTTATATTTTATTCTAGGTATCATGATCTTCAAGATACAGACTAAAATACCAGTCCAATCTGTCATTATTGGATAAATCTGGCATTATTTTGTTATACCAAAATTGTAAGTTTATTTTTGAAGAATTGAGAAAAAAACATTAATACTGTAGCTTTAGGAATTTTTTGAATCAGCTGAGCTGTGGACATTGACCACAGACACACTTTTAGCCCCTTCCAAATGGTAGAAAAGCACGTTCGCTTAACTGAATTTTAAGCTAGCACATTTTTCTTCGTGTTTCTGGGAGACGAAGAGTTAGTCCGTGGTCAATGACACTGGTCTGGTACCATGCAGTAATTCATTCAGCCATAGCTCAAGTGTTTCTTCTAGCCCTGAAACAGGTCTCCTGAACAAAGTTGACTGGATAGTACAAAGCACAGACGACTCGGTAAATTTATGGATTGTAATGCAGAATTCTGAAGATTTTCAAAGGGTCTGTAGGAAGAAGTAATGGTGCCTAGGACATAGAACAGGTTTGAGTTCCCAAGCAGAGACCAAACCTAATTGGAGTGATAAATTCAGATGATGCCCATGTAAATAATTCGGGACTTTTATCTAGTGCCAGTTACTCTCCACGGCAGACTTAAGAGGGGAAAATTACTTTTGGAAAAGGCCCCCTTCTTAATTCAGTTTTTAATTATTTTGATTATGCTTATTAAATGCCTGTAGCAGTTTCTAACTGCTGTGTTTCAAACAAAAACGTTCAGACATTCCATGAGGCACATAAAATGCTATAAGGCTGTGAAAGCAACGTACAGAAAATTGTATTTTTCTATAGTTGCACTGAGCTAGAATCATAGGGAGTCATGAGGGATGGAAAAGCTGTTTCTAGATTATCCGTTGCAGTGCAATCAAATCATGATGTCTCATATTCCTAGGGATGTAACAGGATGAAAATGTTTGAAGCTGCCTGGGCTATGTTTGATGCTGCATGAGGCCTAAAGAAATCACCAAGGACTAGCAGTTCTGTGCTAGGGAACTCGTTTAAATGAGTTTCTTATTCCTATCTAACTCTTTCTTTTGTTCTGGATCTCTGCCATGCCCTTCCTTTCTTTTTCCTAAATGCGTTGGCGAGACGTAGTGCAAGAGCTACCTTCATTCGTAGATGTGCAAGATTGTGACGAAAAGGCTCGGGTTGACTCTCATCATGTTGTCAGTTTGACGGAAGAGCCTCCTTCCACCTGCCTCTGGCTCATACCACTGTGAAAAACGAAAATCAGCAAATCCACAAGCACTTTGGAAAATGTTGCATGTATTCCACTTTCCTTTCCTGTAGAAGGAGAACAGTGCCTTCCACATCACGTGGGATTCTAAGAACTAATGCAGTAATCTCTGTCAAGTGCTTCGGGAACTCTTTATGGGAAGCACAGACTAAGTTCAACACCCGGACCATTATTATTCCCCTGATAATGTTTGATAATACACCAGGTTAAGTACCATTAATTACAGTGCTACTTATGTGGCAGAATCCCAATGCACTGTTATAATTTACTACCTTGTCTATATATAGCTGTTCTTTTAATTGAATAATCAAAATTATGTTATTTCAGAGAAACAGTTATATTTCCTTTTAGTAACTACATTTATGCAGGGTATTATAACCTAAATAGTACAAAAGACTGAATAATCAACAGTAGTAAGTTTTTATTTTAATGTGAAAATAGCCAAGAATTAAGTAAAAGAAAACTGGTATAAAAATAAAATAGAAGCAGAAAACGATATATGCAGGCACACATCAATTTCACCCAATGATAAAGTCTGGAGGTGACATTTGGGCCCTTAAATCTATCTTTAATTTTAGTGTGGCAGGATTGTGCCTAGGATGAAGCATAGTTTATTCTTTATTAGTTTAATGCTACCTACATTTTAAAACATTATGTGGAGCTCTGTTGAAATTAGGATGTAATAACATTACCTAAGCATCTTCCACTGTAGGAAATTTAGAACATTTAGGTTATGAGTTTGCTGATGCTAAAGACTTGCAACAAATTGCATTCTGTACTGAAGGTATCATGACCTAACACTTACCGGTTGAATAAAATTAAAGAGATATCGGTATTGATCTGTTTCATGACCGTATCCAGGCATTGAGTTTTCACGAGCAGTGGGAATATGATTTACGAAAGTTTTGTCATGTGCTTAGAAACCCCTCAAAGTGCCGTTGGCTACTGCGTTATCTCTGCAGGCTGGTCTCCAGTGTCAATTATGTGGTTATATATAACGAGTACACGTTCTCTGGCTTCCATTCTGCTTGAGGCCTTCGACTTCCTTGTATCGAGCACCTGTGCAAGATTATTTAGATCCTTTAGAGCAAATTTGCAGAAGGACTGTGCTAAGTGGGTTGTATAAACACTTATGCATCTGTCTGATCCTCTAAAGGATTGTCTTGCATCCTATATCTTTGTCTGCTTTTGAAACGTTGCTTAAATAAGCTGAAATTGAAGAGGGAAAATGAATGCGAAAATCAAATTGAAGCATTTCTGGGTTTTTTAATTTTCTGTTTGTAGCATTTGACAGCTGCAAGAAATTGCATGAGAAAAAAAAAATCAAAGGCTCGAGTATCAAAATCTTTGCTTACAAGCTCCTCTTATTTAGTAATCATGCTTGTTTAATAACCACAGCTTGGAGCACGTGATCCATAGGAACAAATGATCAAGCGTATAAAAACCCGTAGCTTGTACCTTGTCATGGTTTAACCCCAGCAGGCAACTAAGTACCACACAGCCGCTGACAGGACAACCTAAAGATATTTGTTTCATCAGGAATAATGTAGAGCCGTTAAATAAATATTTTGTAATTTGAATATAAAAAGGGAAAAACTGCCTAATAGAGAAGACTTTACACGTATGAGAATAGCGATAATGCTTCTGGACTAAGGATTACAGATACTCAAATAGTCTGAAATGCTTATTCATAAACTGTTTAGTGATACAGAAATTAACCTTCATTTCAGCTGTTCATATTCTTTTTCTCTTTGCTGTTTATTATTTATGTTTATGAACAGTGAACTTGGGATCCTGAAGCTGAGGTTCATTTAAGAAAATGAAGTTCAGTTTGTGGTATAAAAATAACTCCATGGAGAAAGGATACACTTAGGTTAAGATATCCAACTGACAAAGCACAGAAATAGAAACTAGACCCATGTCACTTAAATGACTAGCCACAAAGCTTGACATATGAATTCCAAATATCAAATAATAAACTTAATATTGCATGTATCCATTAAATCTATTTGAGTAAATTTGCATAATGAATAGCTTCATAAAATTGAGAACTGCTAGCAGACAATTTTCAAACAGGAAGGAGGCTGTACTCACCCCATAATTTGCTCATAGTGAGCAATTTTAACCAGTTTTAAAATGGTGAATGAAATTCCATGAATGGTGAGACTTTCCCTCAAGCGCATAGAGAAAACATATTTAGTTTTGCAATATACTTGGATTTTGCAAGTTAATCTTTTAATCAGACACATAACATAGGTTTTATGTGTTGTCCTGACAGACCAGCAGTACTCATGGTCGCCTTCTCAGCACTTCAATGAAGAAAGATACTCTCCTGCTCCGAGGAATATGAAAGGATTATCTGGTAGTCGCAACCAACCACAGTTATGTTCAGCTCATACTTGTGGCTTAGCATCCCCTGAAGATTGCGAACACACCCACGACCATATCCACCATGGGCAGGAGCCAAGGCAATCGTATCTTCTCAGCCCCACGGAGAGTTGCCCGATGGACCACCATCGTTGCTCTCCACGCAGCTCCATTCATTCTGAATGCATGATGATGCCCATGGTAATGGGCGATCACATGTCAAGTAGCACTTTCCCCAGAATGCACTACAGCTCTCATTACGACTCAAGAGACGACTGCGCCATGTCTCACGGTAACCCTAAGATTAACCGTATTCCTGCAAATCTTTTGGACCAATTTGAGAAACAACTTCCTCTTCACCGGGATGGGTTTCACACTTTACAGTATCAGAGGACCTCAACAGCTGCGGAACAACGCAGTGAGAGCCCAGGAAGAATACGCCATCTCGTTCATTCAGTCCAGAAACTTTTTACTAAATCTCATTCTCTGGAAGGATCATCCAAGGGCAACGTTAATGGAACGAAGGGAGACAGTCGAGGGGACGACCATCATCACGGGCACCATTCCAAGCATAGCAAAAGGAGTAAAAGTAAGGAGCGAAAACCAGAAAGCAAGCATAAATCTGGAATGAGCAGCTGGTGGAGCTCTGATGACAATTTGGACAGCGATAGCACTTACCGAACCCCCAGTGTGGTAAATAGGCACCATGCGGATCATATATCCCATTGCTATCCTGAGGCGCTCCAGGGGCATTTTGGGGATCTCTCATTGAAGACTTCCAAAAGTAACAATGACGTGAAGTGCTCGGCTTGTGAAGGGCTAGCAATGACCCCTGATGGTAAATATATGAAAAGGAGTTCTTGGTCCACGCTTACAGTAAGTCAGGCTAAAGAAGCTTATCGCAAATCATCACTGAACTTAGATAAGCCTCTGGTTCATCAGGAAATCAAACCTTCCTTGAGGCCGTGCCATTACCTTCAGGTAAGGGGGATTTTCTTAAGGTTTGTAATGAAAGTCCATCACCGTTTATGCCATAGTCATCATAAAAAATACAAGGGTAATCTGTGTACCTCTCAAAGAATATCTGTATGGCTCACCTAATGCAGACATTCCATGAAAGTGAGAAACCTCTAGCTTTTATCTTTGTTTATAGGGCACGGATTGAAAAACTATAAAACTGGTGTGGTATAAATTACTTCAAGGTCAGTGGATGTGTATTCATCTTTGGAGTTCACACTGAACACCTTGATTAAATCCATATATCAGACTAAAAAAAGGGCAGTTCTCCCAGCAGTCTGGGGGCTAGAAAAATTGTTTCAAACACATCTGTGAATGAGTGATTTTAAAAACAGGCTGCGTGCAATCCTATTTTTGTGTGCTTTTATTCCTTTTCTCCGGGTTTTTGTAAGTAACAGGAGAATGGATTTACTGGTGTGCTCAATTGCTTTGTCACAATGACGATGATTACTCACAAACTTCCTTTTAGTGATGGGGTCACCGAAGATCATATTGAACTGAGCCTCTTTTGAGACCATACTATATGCTACCCTTGTTAAAAGTTACATGGGTACCTCAGGGAGATAAATATTCCAGGCCTGGCACTCAGGCTATTTGTGGTGGTGTTCTGCACACTGGTTTTCTCCAGCAGCAACCAAGAAACTCCCACCTTCTCCTACCTTTAAACTTTTATACCTCCTGCTTGCTGCCATTTGCTACCCCAAAGTCATGCTAATGGAGCCATTTATGTTGCTGCATGATGATCTGGATCTTAAAGTGATACGGGTTTAAAAAAATAGCTTCCAAAATACTTTTTGTAGACATTGACATCATTTACATGGCCTAAGTCCTGCACAGTGCCATGACAGGTGACGTTAGCACGTCAGGGTGTACAGAGCACCGCAGTGGGAGCAGAGCAGAAAGGAGAGAGTAGCTGGGAAGATCACTTCTTCAGCTAGCTTTGCCACTGGAAAAAACATAGTATACAAATATTCCCTTAGGTATTTTTGCCAAGTACAGCCTGCAAAGCCCACATTGTTCTGGGTACCTTCTCTTTTATTTCTTTTAAAGAAACTTTCCTTTCTCCAGAATTTAAGTGAGTCTCACTTCAACATGGGCAAATCTCCATTCCAGATTTCTGTATTTAGAGATTTTCAGTTTCTGTGGGCTCTGCAGAAGCCAGCAAACACAGAGTAGCAACAACCGTTGTACTTCTGTGCAGCGCGCTCTCCCCTCTGCGCAACAGGGGTCCGATAGTAACGAGTCACACTTGAAGAACCAGATCTTTTCAGATGCAGGTGTAGACATCCAGGATCAATCTTCCCTACTGAAACAGGGAAGGTTCCTCATTGCAGAGAAAGGAAAATAAAGAAATTGCAACCCTCATAGCATTACTATGTAAATTGATTCCAATTTAGACTGTGATATTTTACCATGTCCAAGTACAGTTCTCATGTATGCAGAGCAGCCTGCACTTCCCTGGAAGTTTTTTGTTTACCTCAATGAGCCAGAACTGGAATCGCGTCCTGTGCAGAGACTTCCACTTGTGTCTATGTTCTAAAACCACGTGTACAGCTCCGACCTTACAAAGAAGTTTAGGTATGGCTAGCTTTTTCCTTACCATGACATGCTCCTCCTACACAGACAGCTCTGGGTCCCCTACATCTATGCTGGGTTTTGTGCTTTCCTTCTCATCATGTTTCACTGTTTCTTCTCCCCACCTCTTTACATCTCATTTTTCTTTGCAGAAGCCACCAGTTTCTACTTTTCATGGGTCTTCTCCTTGCTCCTAACTTATACCAGCATCTTCAAGTGAATGTGAAACACTGAGTTCACAAACTAACTTGGTTATCACTAAGCTTTAGATCAAGCCCAGTGGCAAGGCTAGGGAGCAGGAAAGCACATTTTTTGCAGTCATTGTTTTATACTTTTTGTGAATTGAGATAGCTACAGAAAGGAATTTTCATCCAGTAATTAGGAAAGTTCATCCACTGGTAGGTTCATCCAGCTTAAAATCTAGCGGTGAATTTAAGTTTTTGCTGCACCAGAGACTTTGTGATCTTTATTTTTAAGCCCCTTTAAAAATAGAATAGTAGCCATTCCCTGTTCACAGGGATCCTGTAATGGAAATTTGTGAAGACTGGAGTGCTCAGTTACTGCCATAAAGAATCTATAGTTGTGTCCAAAGCAATAATATTGGGAATTCTATGATGGGAATATTCTCACCTATAGAGGCCTGTAAGAAAGCTGGGAAGGGACTTTTTACAAGGGCAGGGAGTGATAGGACAAGGCGCAATGGCTTTAAACTGGAAGAGGGAAGGTTTAGATGAGATATCAGGAAGAAATTCTTCCCGGTGAGGGCAGTGAGGCACTGCCCAGAGGAGCTGTGGATGCCCCATCCCTGGTAGTATTCAAGGCCAGGTTGGATGGGGCTTTGAGCAACCTGGTCTGGTGGGAGTTGTCCCTGCCCATGGCAGGGGGTTGGAACTGGGTGGGCTTTAAGGTCCCTTCCAACCAAACCATTCTCTGATTCTATGGTTCTGTGATTCTGTGATATGTTCTGTAGAATCTGAGTATGCCATTCAGAGCATAGCTATCCTTCAGATTGAGTGGCTGGCTTATTCACTAGCTCAAGGTCAGCAAACAAATTGAAGGGACCCATTCTGTCAATGTCATCACTAAATGCTTAGTTCTGAAACTTCTACTTTGAGGGATGGTGTACTGTCACACTGTAATCATTAAGACCAGAGATATAAGTCCCATTATTAGCTCTGCCGTGAACTTTCTCTCTGACCCAGGAAATGTAATTTGTTAATTACCGCACACTTCAATTACTCTATCTGCAAAACTGAGGAGGGATATTTAACTTTTCTTAAGGCAGTGTGAGAAGCATCACTAAATAATGATTGGATAAAAATAATCGTTAGGTTCAGAAACTGAGAAAGGTAGAGAAATAGGTCCAGATCCCTAGCCAGGAGAGTTTACTGCCTTGCTCCACAATATCTGGCCATGAGAATGCAAGGGATTATGAAGTTGATTATGCAGCAGCAGATTTCCCTGCGGTGCACAAGTGAACAGATTAGCATAAAACCTCAGGCCCTTCACAGGATCTTTGTGTTTATAGCATTACAACACATGATATTAAAAGGCATTTCTCCTGAGTGATGTCAGCTGTATATTTTTTAATTCTTTTTTAAAGCAAAGCTGTGAAATTATAGTCCTTCAGCAATCTTATATATGAATACATAAACATACCCCGGAATAATAAAAATTCATTTTCTATGTTTATATGTTAACATTATAGATTTATATTATATATATGGCTGTTATGCTGCTACCTAGTTATATGAGGATTCACTGTACTCACCTCACTTTTTTATCTACTTGTCTCCTTCTTATTTTTCCTTTTGACACCTATATAAAATATTGCTACTTCTGTTTTCCACTGGAGAGTTTTGGTATACGGAGTCCCAAACTGGAAGATCACGGCAGTGTCTTAGGCCTGTGTTTGAGACCATGCTTTCTGTCTTGTGTTTCTGGGCTTCCATTTTGTCTTCCCCAGTAATTACTGAGCTGCTTTTTCCTTAAAACTGAAACTCTGAAGAGTGAACAAAGGGAATTTGTTTCTAAGAAGGGAGCTTCTACCGTATTCACAGATACCTGAAAACAGGAGATGAGAAAAGAGGTTTCGACGACGTCTGCACATTATATGCTTACGTCGTGTCCTAGAGTTGAAAGCAGGTATTTCTGTAACCTGGTAGATCTCCAAGCGTAGTCTCTGGCTCTTCTCTTAGGCTTTCAAAATCCCTGCTCCTCCACAGACAGTCCGTGCAGCTGGGGATGTCCTTGGTTGGGGAGCATGCTGTTGTAAGTTAGAGGTGATTGAGTCAACGTGCCACCTTCTAGCATGGGTGGCCATCTAGCCCTAAAGTGGACAGATTCAGAGAGCTCAATTAGTAGAAATAAAGCTGTATAAAGTAGTGATTATTTTTCTTGTCTAAAGCTCAGCTCAGACTTGCATCACTCCTACTACAGCGGAGGTGGTGGGAACAGGCAAGGAGAAGGGCGAGGGGAAGAGCGAGAAGCCCCTTTGGGCTCCAGCTCGTCGTTAAATCCGCGCGGCTGTAATGGGAACCAGACGGTTAACTAGCACCGCGCGAGCACCGCTTGTGACTGTACACTGACAGCGTTCATCAGGTTCTTGTGAATGATTAGCAGTCGTTTCTGTGTATTGGCCTTTAGTTTCTGTTTTGAATGCAGACAAATTGAGCTACAAAATGCATTTCTGGGCACCAAACACTTCTGGCATCTCGCTCAGCAGGCAGAATAGCCCAAGTAGATCACGCATGCAGTAACGCACCCTTTTGTATAGTTTTAGCTATAGCGGCTGCTACTGTTTCCCATGTCGTTTTAATTTTAATATAAAATATGTTAAGGAAAAGATAAATGAGTTGTGAGAGCTCTTCTGTCTTTATCAGCTGTTTTGGCTAATTACGTTCAACACGTATACAGTGCAATGACTGATTAATTTCACTCTGATATGAGTACTAGTGAGGAGCAAAGATTTTCAACAGAAAAAATGGATAGGAACTAGAAAACCATGCTAAAATAATGAATACAAAAGTGTCGCTTACAGTTTCCAGGACTGAAATACCTGTGAATGCTAGTTAAAGAAAAATAATTCCTACAATAAAGCCACAAGACCGGCAAGAGCATAGCACTCACCATCACTGAGGTTCTGGAGCACAGTGCTACGTGTCACTGATTAATATTTCTTCCTCAGCCATTCAACAGCCTGCGAAGCAGCAAGCTATCAAGGTAAACATACCACAAGGTACAGTGAATGAGTCAGCACGAAAAAAGAAAATAGCATGTTGTTCTAAAAATGGCTTCAGCCCACTCCTGTCTTCCTAGTGCATTTAAGTGCTAGCGTCATCCGTTACAGCAGTGGCACCGCTAAGCATGTGGGTAACAATGTCAGCTGT